AAGCAACTTTGTTCCACTAGCGTTCGGTGGGAAACCTTGAAGCTCCCGTGTTGAATTTGTCCTCCATTTTGGTCTCGTACGACCAGTTGGACATTGAATCATCGTCAGCATTTCAAGGGTGGGGGCTGATCAGAGTTCTCCCGAACGATTTCGGCCAACTTCCGCGGGGATATTGACACCCTGTTTCAGACTTCTTACGGGCGTTGAAGGACTACAATTCACGGCCATCTTGAAAAAGGGTTTGGGGACCGACGTGCGTTGGTTACGTGTCTCTGTAAGTCCTGGTTTCCCAGAGGGAGGGAGGGAAGGAGGGAGGGAGGGAGACCCCGCCCTCATCTCTGACTCGGCAGCTGCTGGTCCTTCGCCCGCACTATCAGCCCCCACCCCACCCTACGGAAAGAGACAATGTGTGCGGCCTCCCCCCTCGCCGAACGTAGTAGCCCACCCAGGAGTCGGATCCTATTCGTTCCACGACCCGTTCGGCTCTTGCGCGGCTTTTCCCTACCCGCAGCCGATCCTGCGGAGACGAGAAAGGAGAGAAAAGCGCAAAGGCAGGCGGGAGGGCGGGCGGGCGGGACGATCCGGCGCTTTTTCTCTTCTTCCTCCTCCTCCTCGCCGCCGATCGTTTTCCTCCTCTCCGCTGATCAGCGGGGAGGCCATTATATATTTTTTTTTCCTCGCAACCCGTTCGGCCGAACTGTTTTGCTCGCGCTCCTGGGCCCCTTCGACCATCGGCTCGTTCCGGGAATGGCGCCCTTTGGAAGTTTTCCAAGGTGTGTGTGTGTGTGTGGACGGGAGGGGAGGCTGAGGGCCCGAGCAAACTTCAACGGGGTGTATATGTGGGCTTTTCCGGCCACCTCTCACCTTTCTCGGTGCGTCGCCGGAAAGAGAGCTTGCGCCGTCGCAGCCGGTTGAAGCCCTTGTCGGTCTCGTCGCTGTCCGGCGAGCCCGGGATCATGTTGGTCTGCGAGGACACAAGGCCAGCTGTCACTTTGGGGACGGGCGGGGAACGAGACTCGGCAGGAAAGACACGTTTGGGAAAAAGTGCCCAACGAGCACGTTTCGGGTGCCGCCCTCTCCCCCCCCGCCCGCCCCGTCCGCGAAACACTCACGTCTCTCAGGTTGAAGGTGATCTCCAAGTTAGACCAGAAATGGTCGGAGAACTCTGGGTACATTTCCAGCACCTCCAAAAGATCCTCCCGGTGGATCTTGTGCAGGTCGCAGTAGGTGAGGGCTCGCACGTCCGCGTTGGACTTGCCGGGACGGGCGTACAGGTTGAGCGGCTCGCCGAAGATGTCGTTCTTCCCTGCGGGAGGCGGAGAAGAGGAGGCGCGAAGGGCGGTGGGATAGCCGCGGGGAGACGGCGTCCCTTGGTGGCCATTTTGGGGGGGCGTTTTCGGGTCTCTCGCGTGGGACGAGAGAGACCGTTCTGAATGGTGGGGGGAGGCGCCTGGGGAGTTGGGTCGCCGAGCGGCGGAATTTGGATACTGTGGTTTCCCCCCAAAATACGGCCTAGTCATAAAACTAAGCCTTAGCTTGATTTTCGCACCGCTGCCTAATAGATACCCCTAAGATAGCGACGGTTAACCTTTCGAGCACCGAGGGCCAAAACTCGGTGCGCCGGAAACCAGAAACAGCAGTTCCTGGCGTGCAGCCACCTGATTCCCTGGCTTCTAACGCAACACCAAGTAGCTTTAGTCCAGAAAAGTTGAGCTAAGCCCCTCCCAGGCTCCTTGCTGTCTCCTCCTTGCTCAATACCATTTCAGTTTCCAAACAGCCCTCAGCTCTCTCACACACTGACTGGACAAATGCCCCCTGGACGCTGGTAAGCAGAGGCTCCATCTATCTCTCTCTATCTCTATCTCTATCTATGTATCTATTTATTTATATCTATATCTATCTATCTATCTATATCTATTATATCTATATATATATATATACATATACATGTTAAGTACCCGCGAAAACTTAAGAAAACCTATATCTATATCTATCTATATCTATATCTATCTATATCTATATTATATCTATATCTATATATACATGTAAGTACCCGCGAAAACTTAAGAAAACCTATATCTATATCTATATCTATCTATTTATAACTATATCTATCTATTATATCTATATCTATATCTATATCTATCTATCTATCTATCTATTTATATCTATATCTATCTATCTATATCTATTTATATATCTATTTATATCTATCTATCTATATCTATTTATTTATATCTATATTTATCTACCTATATCTATATCTATTATATCTATATCTATATCAATCTATCTATCTATATCTATATCTATCTATCTATAATGTATGTATGTATTTACAGAGCAGCTTTTCAAATTGGACTTCTCTTTTTACATATATATATATATAAATTTGGTATTTTTATCACAACAACAAAAAAACCAACACAAAACCTTCTTTCTGGTCCACAGTGTGTCAAGTTGAGTACATATTTCTTTGTGCACAAAATAACATTATCATAGTATCCTGTCTAACTTGTATATATTTATAATCCTTCTTATTAATATTTTATCCTTAGCTTTATAACCATTAACTTTCAACCAGATCTTTCAAGTTCATTTTCTTACTGTCTCTAGCTCGTCTATTTATTCATATATTAGTATATTATACTGTGCTACTATACCGTACTATTATGCGAATATTAACTTATAATAATGTTAATATAATACATTATTAAATATAATAATATAATATTAATATAATATGACTAACTATAATAATATAATATTAATATAATATAATATAATATGAATATATGACTAATAATATAATATTAATATGACTATAATAATATAAAATTAATATAATATGACTATAATATAATATGAATATAATATGACTAACTATAATATAGCATTAATATAATATGACTTAATATAATATACTATTAATATATGACTAAATATAATAATATAATATAACTATAATATGACTATAATAATATAATATGAATATAATATGACTAATTATAATACTATAATATGAATATAATATGACTAACTATAATAATATAATATGAATATAATATGAATATAATATGAATATAATATGACTAACTATAATAATATAATTTTAATGTGATAATATTCATATAAATATTAATATAATATTACTATTAAGAAGTGGAAAAATCCCCAAAGAAACCTAAATACCATAAATATAATATGAATATAATATGACTAACTATAATATAATATGAATATAATATGACTATGTACAATAATATAATATTAATATAACATGACTAAACATAATAATATAATATTCATATAATATTCATATAAATATTAATATAATATTACTCTCAAGACGTGGGAAAATCCCTGAAGAAACCTAAATACCATCGCTATAATATTAATATTAATATATATCTAAGCCGATGTCGTTCAGGGCTTTGCCCTTCTATCCAACCTGTTCATCTCATCCATTCCCAAACCGAAATCGCGGGGACGCCTAAAACGGCCTCCTCACCTAAAATGGCCACCACCACGTCTCCCCGGAGGATCTCGATGGAGCCGCGGGAGATGAAGTAGAGGGCGGTCAGCACGTCGCCGGCGTGGACCAGGGTGTCGCCCGGCGGGGCGTGGGTGGTCTTGAACTTCATGGCCAAGGCCCGCAAGCAACCTTTCCTGGCGCCCCGGAAGGGACGGCAGTTCTGCAGCAGCGTCCGGTTGAGGTGGAGGCAGATGTCGGCTTGCAGGCAGTCGGGGAAACCCTTGAGGACCTGCGGATTGGAGGAAGAGGGGAGACAAGAGTTCAAATTCGGCATGAGGGGAACGAAGGTTACGATACCGCTGAATTTGAAGAGGCGGACTGTCTCGCGTCGAACGACGGGAGAGTCGCATCAAACGAGAAATGGGAAAACAACGGAGAGAATGAGAGAGGGAAACAAATGAAAGAGAGAAGAAAGGAAAAAAGAAAGGAAGGAAGGAAGGAAGGAAGGAAGGAAGGAAAAGGAAAACAACAAAGTGGGAGAGAAAGACAAACGAGAGAGAGAAAAGGGGAAAAAGGAACGAGAAATGGGGAAACAATGGAGAGAATGAGAGGGAAACAAATGAGAGAGAGAAGAAAGGAAGGAAGGAAGGTTGGAAGGAAGAAAGGGAGAGAAAAAAGAAAAAAATCAAAGGAAAGAAAGAGAGAAATGAGAGAGAGAAAGGGGAGAAAAAGGAAAGAGAAATGGGAAAATGATGGAGAGAATGAGAGAAAAGAAAAAGAAATGAGAGAGAAGGGGGAGAGGGAGAGTAATGAGAGAGAGAAAAGAGAGGGAAACAAATGAGAAAGAGAAGGAAGAGAAAGGAAGGAAGGAAGGAAGGAAGGAAGGAAGGAAGGAAGGAAGAAAGAAAGAAAGGGAGGAAAAAGAAAAAAACAAAGGAGAGAAAGAGAGAAATGAGAGAGAGAAAAGGGAAGAAAAAGGAAAGAGAAATGGGAAAACGATGGAGAGAAGGAGCGAGAGGAAAAAGAAAAAAAATGAAAGAGAGAAGGGGACAGGGGGAGAAATGAGAGGGCGCTGGAGGGAGAGAATGAGAGAGAGCGAAAAGAGAGTGAAACAAGTGATAGAGAGAGAGAGAGAGAAAAGAAAGCAAGAAAGAGAGGAAAAAACCAAAGGAGAGAAAGAGAGTAATGAGACAGAGAAAAGGGGAGAAAAAGGAAAGAAATGGGAAATGATGGAGAGAATGAGAGAGGGGGAAAAAAAGAAAGAAAGGAAAGACAGAAGGGGGAGAGGGAGAGAAATGAGAGAGAGGGAAAAGAGAGGGGAACAAATGAGAGAAAGAAAAGAAAGAAAGAAAGAAAGAAAGAAAGAAAGAGGGAACGGAAAAAGAAAAAACAAACAAACTGGGAAAGAAAGAGAAATGAGAGAGAGAATAGTGGAGAAAAAGGAAAGAGAAATGGGAAAACGATGGAGAGAAAGAGAGAAAAGAAAAAGAGGAAGAAATGAAAGAGAGAACGGGGAGAGGGACAAAGAAATGAGAGAGAGCTGGAGGGAGAGAATGAGAGGGAAACAAAATGAGAGAGAGAAGGAAGAGAAAGGAAGAAAGAAAGAAAAAAAGAAAGAAAGAGAGGAAAATGAAAAAAAATAAAGTGGGCGAGAAAGAAAAACGAGAGAGAGAAAAGG